AATTTTTTTTTCTCTGCATACACCAATTTTCAGAGCAAATATGAATTTGATGACATTCAAAAAACTAGTTTAAATAACAAACGCGTAACTGTGATACATGTTTCCATGTTTCCCGTATAGCCTGAACAGCGCCCAAGGTTTTTGCGTCTCGTGAAAATTTTCAAACTTTTTCAGTTGAAAAATGTTTAGTGTGGAAAAATGAGATTATTAGCAGTTTTATATTAAAGCTGTTTATTTTGGAACTAGTGTGAGGCCTAGTAATAAATAAATCCATCTATCATTTAAGAAGTAAACTAGAATTATTTTTAACGGTTACGGCTTATTTTCAGAATAAGACCATTTTGAAAATTAACTTCATATTTTTCATTCCTGCATAGCCCTCATCGAGTCCACAATAATGGATGTGTTTGACCAAATCACTGCAGAAGGGATACTTAGCGGGTACATGGTAGATCATTTGACTATTTGCGAGCTGGATAACGATGTTATGTAATAGAATGTAATCCAGCTCTTGTATATGCAGTCACAATTGCGGGACTATACTTAATTCTTACGCGCACCCTGGAAACGTGAACAAACCTTATGCAAGTTGTGGTTACGAACCCTTGTGAAGCCTTAAGTTATGGGGAAAAGAGAGGAAGCTTCAAGTCTAACAGATGCTGTAGTTCACCAGAGGCGCAGCAGCGCGCAGGTCTTGAAGTCTTGAAGTTGGTCTAGAAGCAAGCGGCTCACTGTATAAATGTGTAAAAGCTTTGAACTTACTCGCCTAGCGTGATTAGGCGGAATTCACCACATAGAAACCAGACCAAATGAAAAGCTAAAACACGCCTTCGATTTGATTACTATCACTGCCGGATGGGCAAGTCAGGCAGCTTTGAAACAACCATCGGAATATGAGGTCCAAAATATGATTGGATGTATTACTAGATTCAAGCATAAGAAAATTCACCGAACTAATTGGCCGTCTTTAAATCATTACATTTCCTGTAAAAGCTATGTTGCTGGTTTAATTAGAAAAAAATTCATATGTAGACTTTTGTCCAACACTGTATGTTCCATTTACGTATTAATTTGAGTTAACAAAAAAAAAATCATATTTTTTTATGCATTCTTCACATATGTTCTTGCCAAAGGTAAAAACTGGTCTAATGAAGTATTAACGCTTTAGTTAACAAAAATAATTTCACACAAGCCCATTTCATTTATTCTAATGAATTTTTATGAAATAAATACTTTAAAAGTAATCGTTACGCTTGAACGATAAACAAGCCTTCGGCTCACAGGAATTTCGAGCCATGCGATTGTAATATCGTTTTAAACAATTTCGCGCTGTTAATAATTTCAAATTATATACCTACATATGTGTGTTTGCATGTGTGTATATATGTATGTATGTATGTAAATATATCTCTACAACAATACAGCGCTTCGATGCTCAGATTTGCTTTTAACTATTTAACACACAGAGCCACTCCTACCCCTGCATGTGAATATATGTATGACACCACACGAGCTCGTATGGGAAGACAAACACCTGCTACGCATAACAACAACAACAGTAGCAATTTTGTATTCGCCATACAATTTGAAATACAAAAACTATTACATGTTGTTTATTTCATTATGGATTTGTTTACGCTTTCAACTCCGCTTCTCCTCTCGTCGGCGCAATTTTGGTGGCATTATGTTGCCTATTTTTAGGCGTTGGGCGTGTTGGCATGTGCAAATCGTTGAGTTCTCATGCGCTTCATGGGAAAATTACTAACTTCTGTTAACAGAAAAACGCTAAATATATAGTGTAGGCGCACTCATGCTCATAAATGTATGTCCGCGTATGTACGCACGGGTATGCGCGTTAAACCGAACGGCATATGGTCGCTGCTAAAGTTGTAATTTTCCGCAGTTGCATAGACAAAATGGCGTGGCATTCAATGGAAAAGCGACAACGTGACGCGGCTGAGATATTTCGTATTAATAGTGCACTATGCAATTATGTATGAAAGTACGTTTGTATGTTTGTATATTTCGTGAAATTGTATATATTCGAATTAAAAAAAATTAAAATTAAAATACCTTCAATTGCTGTTATTGAAATTTCAATTGAAATTACAAACGCGAGTATACTTCAGTGCTAGGATTGAAATAATAGCCTTAATACGTATATTAGGGTGGTATGTCATTACGGTCAAACTCGACAGTGTCCATGATTTAATCGAAATTTTTGGCAATTGGTCTTCCATTTATTCGTATTCGTATTCGTTGTCGTATTCGTTTTCGTATTCGTATTCGTATTCGTATTCGTATTCGTTTTCGTTTTCGTATTCCTATTCGTATTCGTATTCTTATTCGTTGTCGTATTCGTATTCGTATTCGTTTTCGTATTCGTATTCGTATTCGTATTCGTATTCGTATTCGTATTCGTATTCGTATTCGTATTCGTATTCGTATTCGTATTCGCGTTCGAATTTGTATCCATATTCGTATCATAATATATTCTAAAGTCATATTCCACCCTAATGTGCATATGAGTACATGCATATATGTATGCATTTGTGCAATTCAACACTGGAGCAGGAATATCCGTACGTTCGTATGTATGGCCATATTTGTTTGTTGCTTTATTAGCTACTCGCCATTGACGACGTCACCTGCTGCCGCCGCTGCCCTTGTTGTAATCCACATTGTGCGCGGGCGTAATTGCATGGAAAATATTTAGTGGGCACTTTAGAGCACGGTTAGGTCGAGTGTTGGCTGCTCCTTTTTGTATTCGACCCCACAAATAGGTACACACACACACACACACACACACACGTACACATACACATATCACGAATGCATGCAATTGCACTTCACTTGCCTCTTTTGCCAGGTAACATCACCAGCAGGTGGAACTGCACTTTTTCCACTTTTCCAACAATTTCACCTTTTGTTGTGGCATGTCGAAAACAAAATCAAACACATACTCACCCACTCATATAAATACATATCCATATATATATGTACATACATATATATTAGTATGGATCATAGTGATATACAATAGAAATGGTTTGTAAGCAAGTAAAATACTGTATTGCTGACGTTTAGTAGCTTCGCTGGTGTTGAAAGTAAGGCATGAAGGGGCAGGCAGGCAAAGGGTAGTGCAAGAGGAACCGAATGGCAAAGACTTTGATATGAGATATGAATAGAGTTTTAGAAAAGTTTTTGCTCGAACAAAAGGCTATGCAATTGTTGCTGAGTTGTGGGAAGTTGAAGAATTATTATTTCTTTTATGTGAGATTGTGTACATATTGTACTCGTTGGTGTATACGTACATACAGACATATGTTGTATATAGTATATGCAATATGACCGCAACACTCGTCTGATCGGCGAATTATTTTCTATGCGCTTTTGTGGAAAGGAAGCTATAATTAATGTTAAATGTTTGCTTTCTATAAGATTTTTCTACGCTATTAAGTACACAAAAATGGTTTTGAGATTTCCATGACAACGTGCCTTGGAGTATGAGAGCAATGAATTGAGTGTGGAAATGAGGAAGCTGAATTAGTGAGTGGCATAATTGAGGCGAAAATCCAATCAAAATTAAACTTTATTAACTATTGGGAATATACAGGAACACGCCTCCTTGGAAAATAATAACTTTAACCTTAAAAAAATGTTATAAGCTCTGAAGTGCCTGCTCGAAATAAAAAAAAAAAAATTTGAAATTTTTTTTTCTCTGCATACACCAATTTTCAGAGCAAATATGAATTTGATGACATTCAAAAAACTAGTTTAAATAACAAACGCGTAACTGTGATACATGTTTCCATGTTTCCCGTATAGCCTGAACAGCGCCCAAGGTTTTTGCGTCTCGTGAAAATTTTCAAATTTTTTGAGTTGAAAAATGTTTAGTGTGGAAAAATGAGATTATTAGCAGTTTTATATTAAAGCTGTTTATTTTGGAACTAGTGTGAGGCCTAGTAATAAATAAATCCATCTATCATTTAAGAAGTAAACTAGAATTATTTTTAACGGTTACGGCTTATTTTCAGAATAAGACCATTTTGAAAATTAACTTCATATTTTTCATTCCTGCATAGCCCTCATCGAGTCCACAATAATGGATGTGTTTGACCAAATCACTGCAGAAGGGATACTTAGCGGGTACATGGTAGATCATTTGACTATTTGCGAGCTGGATAACGATGTTATGTAATAGAATGTAATCCAGCTCTTGTATATGCAGTCACAATTGCGGGACTATACTTAATTCTTACGCGCACCCTGGAAACGTGAACAAACCTTATGCAAGTTGTGGTTACGAACCCTTGTGAAGCCTTAAGTTATGGCGAAAAGAGAGGAAGCTTCAAGTCTAACAGATGCTGTAGTTCACCAGAGGCGCAGCAGCGCGCAGGTCTTGAAGTCTTGAAGTTGGTCTAGAAGCAAGCGGCTCACTGCATAAATGTGTAAAAGCTTTGAACTTACTCGCCTAGCGTGATTAGGCGGAATTCACCACATAGAAACCAGACCAAATGAAAAGCTAAAACACGCCTTCGATTTGATTACTATCACTGCCGGATGGGCAAGTCAGGCAGCTTTGAAACAACCATCGGAATATGAGGTCCAAAATATGATTGGATGTATTACTAGATTCAAGCATAAGAAAATTCACCGAACTACTTAGCATTCTTTAAATCACAAAACTTACAACCAGAACAAAACATCAACTTGGATCACTGTCTTGCCACAGCGAAAACACTACGCAACCGTCTCCGTACGGCATATAACACTCCCCGACAATCACAAGTGAGGTATCCCATCGATGCGCGCGTTGTGTTGGTGCCCTGCAAATTGCAATTTTTTTTTTTTTTTATTTTTTTATTTTTTGTTTTATTTTTCGATGCGCTGAAATTAAAATATTCCAACGCAACAGAAGCGACATGAGTTTAATAGCTTCTCTTATATATTTTCGTTTACAGAATATGTGTTTTACAAAGTACTCAACAATAAAAATATTAATTTATTAAAGATATACGTCTGAGGCATTTTTCCGTCGGACGGATCATCATTTGAACGAATTTCAATTCCTCATCCCTGTCTATGGTAATCCAGTTAATCCCATCACTTTTATTTTCATATTCTCCATTCAGATGACTTTAAATAATTTAAATTTCAACTAATTGTAAAATTAAGAAAAGTTTAAAAATCGATGTGATAAATATACTCACCTGTAGAGACACCGTTTAAACCACCAAGCACCTTTGTAATACTTCGCACAATTGTAGTCTTCGTATAAATCGTTATCTCGATCGTGTGTAGAGAATTTCATATAAATATGATATATTAAGCCATCGCCTGCATTCCCAGTGTAGTTACCCATCTTTTTCAACGCATAACGCTCCGATTCGCTACCGATAACAAACTCAGTATATTTCACGTATAGATTTTCACCGTCAAATCTTTCCATTTCAATATGTAGCCCATGTTCACAGCTACTCGTGAGCGCATGTAGTTTCTCCAAACCAATCCAATAGTTTCCCTCTATCTCGCCGAAACCGTCCTTATATGCCTGCCAATCTCTGTTAAAATCGACCGATTTAGTGTAATAAAATCATAGTGATAAGAGCAGACGCCTGAATTGCAGAGGGAAAAAATCAACACAAATTCACACACGTCATCGATTGGGGTTTCGGGCTCATCATCTTCGGGTGTTCCATTACCCCTATCATTTAGCTGCCTAAATAAATGTTCCTTCCATAATTTCAGGAAAACGGAAATATTTATTTCTATGAGGCATAGACGTTATTGCCCCATCACGTATAAATATAACTACTGCTTATCCTTGACTATGAGAATTTTTAGTATGATATTCTATCGAGTTATAAATCGTTTCGTCTCGGCATTTATTGAAGTTTGATGTTTTTATGTCTATTTTTTCAATCAATTTCATACAACCATGAGCCAAACAAACCCAATATACTCTCTATAGGTATATGTTTGTACACAACTCAACTTAAATTCGCATTAAAATTTAATAATGCTGCATGAAGCGGGGTTACAATCGGGATATAGTGACCATACTTATGTTATATCCAAGTAATATGAAGAAGTCCAAAAAAGGGAGAAAAGAATTTTTAGACTCTGAGAGTGGTTAAAAATGATTATCTCAGATACGTTTCAGGCAGTTCAGAACTGCTGAACTTAAGTCAAGTATCTTCTAGGTAGTGAACGAGCATGCCTTTCTCAATGTAAATAAGCAAATATTTGATTTAAGGAAAATAAAAATTAGATGGAATCGTTTCTGCAAATGATTGAAAAATCGGTCGGTATCTTAATTGGGAAGGTTCCACAGTCTTCATGGTTTATGTTATTTTTAAAATTTCTTCAGTGCCGTCACGCCACAATCTCCATCAAATCTTCCTCTTTCCAATGCTGCTTTCAAAGCTGGAGAGCTTTTATACTTTCGAACAACATGATATAGCCAGCATAACCGCCGTCTCTTCATTCGTTGAACTATACCAATGACATCGTATAGCTCGTTCAGCTCATCGTTCCTTCATCCGCGGTATTAGCTGTTTTCAATGCGCCAAAGGATCATAAATCGTTCGCAAAACTTTTCTCCCGAAGACTACCAGAGCCGACTCATCAGATATTGATATCGTACACGCTTCTGCTTCATACATAGCAGGACGGTAATTTTTAGAGACTTGTAAAGTATATTTTTTATTCGCAGAGAGAGAGCACTTTACTTCTCAATTGCTTACCCAGTCCAAGATAGCACCTGCCGGCTGTAGTGAATCTGCGTTGGATTTCCAGGCCGACATTGTAATTGATTGTAATAATGGTTTCAAGATAGACGAAGTTATCTACGACTTCAAAGTTATAACTGGCCTCGTTGACTATCACACCCATACGCCTTGCTCCCTTGTCCAGACTGGGGAAAGGCGTAAGCCAGCAGCTGTACACTCTTATAGAAGAGTGCATAAGTTCGTGCCCGATTCCTCTGGATGCCGTTCGAATCGTTTGAGAGTCGCGCTCGTGAAAGAAATATATACATATTATATATCGTTGGAAAGGTGACAGTCCGAACTGTAAATCAAGCATAAAATAACTTCATTTTGATTTGAGTTGCTTAGTGAAAAGACGCATGGAAGATGGACAACGAAAAAGATCATATGCGTCATATTATGTTATACGAATTCCGCAAAGGAAAAACAGTAGGCGCTGCAACTAAAGATATTCGCGAAGTTTATTTGGACCGTGCTCCAGCACTCCGCACAGTAAAGAAATGGTTCGCGAAATTTCGTTCTGGAGATTTTAACCTCGAAGATCAACCTCGCAGTGGACGGCCTTCTGAGCTTGATGACGATGTTCTAAGGACTTTAGTTGCGAATAACTCACGTATTTCGACGGAAGAGGTTGCCAGTGAATTGAACGTCAACAAATCAACTGCGTTTCGTCGTTTAAAAAAGGTTGGGTACACTTTGAAGCTCGATACATGGGTGCCACATCAGTTGAGTGAAAAAAACAAAGTGGACCGTATGTCAACAGCAATTTCTTTGCTTCGACGGATCAAAAACGAACCTTTTTTGGATCAGCTCGTGACTGGTGAGGAAAAATGGATCCTGTACAACAATGTTCAACGCGAAAGAACATGGAAACAGGCATACGACGGGCCGGAACCGATGTTGAAAGGTGGATTGCATCCGATGAAGGTACTGCTGTGCATTTGGTGGGATATCCGAGGCGTGATCTATTTTGAGCTCTTGCCAGCTGGAGAAACGATCACTGCCAACCAGCAATTGGTCGAATTGAAGAAAGCAATTGATGAAAAACGTCCGATTTTGGCCAATCGCAAAGGAGTTCTTTTCCATCATGACAACGCCAGGCCACATGTTGCAAAACCGACCCTGGCCAAACTGAAGGAGATGAATTGAGAAATCATGCCGCATCCCCCATATTCACCCGGCATTGCACCTTCTGATCATCATTTGTTTCGATCGCGCAAAACAATTTGAATGGAAAAAAATTTAAAAATGTGGAAGACGTCAAAAACTACCTTGACACCTTTTTCAACGAGAAAACGCGCGATTTCTATGAATCAGGCATCTGTAAATTGGTTGAACGTTGAGAGTAGATTGCCAAACATGATGGCTAATACATAATTGATTAATAAAAGCGCTTTCTTCAAAAAAATTTAATTTTAGTTTGCACTAGAAATCGGGCACGAACTTATGCACTCATCCATAACTTCTCTATTTAGCTCTGTTGCTAGTATGATTTTCGTCTTCAATAAACTAAAAAAGTGACACGGTAAGGCTTTTTGGAAAACTGGTTTGCTGTCGAACAGTTCGGGAAGGTACTTATCGATTCTTACGAGGCTTTTGGTGATACTATGACGCAAGCTGAATATCTAATCAGCTATAATATTTTCAGGCCCAAAACCATACTTATTAAGAGCACTCAGTTTGTTGATTGTTGGTTGCATTAATTCTTTTACACAGTACATTCGATAGCAAATGCGCCACGGTAGTTGGCGCAGACAGTGGGTTCTCGTTTCTGTGAATTGTCCAGAGCACACTCAAATTCCAATTAACGTGACCAAAGTCTCCGCTTCTTGCAAATGGGTTGGCACATGTTTTTCGAGTGCGTGATGTGGACTCTAGGGTGGAAATTTAGTAGATCGCCGCGACAGTAATATCTTGCTTAGAAGCTTTACTAACCACACCTCATAACACCCTCGTGGTCACAATATTTTACATAGAAATCACCGAGCGGCATAGAACTCAACGATGGCTAATTCAATTTTTGCATATTTTGGGAAAGAGTGTAAGAAGCGTATACTTTTTTCTATCATCACTTGCTAATTTTTTTATATTTCCAAACGCTTCTAGTTAGTTTCAGAACTTTCGAAAATGTGGCATGAAAAAATGGATCTCATCATTTCTTCCAAATTCCCTTACAATTATTCTTTTTATTGGATTTCTTCTTGTGGACCTTTTTAAGAATATTCTTTGGGTAGTTTTGGCTTAGTGCCAGTTGATAATTGATAATTTTTTAAATCATACAATTTATATACGCAATAAAGTGAGCAGGTTTCCATTTGCCACTGCGAAGGAAAAAAAAAATAAATAAAATTAAACAGAAACGCACATTTAACAAAAATAATCAAAACTAATCCAGAGCAGCAAAAGAAATAAAGCAAATTTGCTTAAATTAATTTCCAACTCCACTCTTCTGCCCCACCACCCAAGCAACAATCTGCTTTAACTACACTAACTTGGCGGTGGACAACATGAAAATGCTTAAAATTTCCCATTTACTTGTAATTTCCTGCCGAGGGCAGTGTAGCATGCTAAGCGCTGAGCGTTGAATGCTGTACGAAGAACGAAGAACGCCTTACCTTGAATGCAAATCAACGCTAATTAATTGTCACTTTTTTACACTCGACGCCAATGCGGACGTGACAGCAAATAAGGCGAACACAAAAACCCCTAACTACCGAGCATTCAGCAAAGCACAACAACAAACAATGAACGGTCGGTTGAAAAAAAAAAAGAAAAACAGCAGGGAACTGAGTAACAACTAAATCGCTGCTGCAGTTTGCAAGAAGATAAATGCATCCGCAGCATTGTAAAGTGGTCTTCTCAAAAACAAGCGCTTCGCTTCTTCTGCACTTGCAACTTGGGCTATTTCTCTCTCCATTTCTCTCTTACCATCTCTTTCTCTCGCTCTCTCCCCTCTTTCTCTCTCTCTGTCCAACATACATAAACTATTTTTCACGCTGGCTTTTAATGTTTTTTCTCTGTATTCTAGATCGGCTTCTTCCTTTTCCTCTTGTATGCTTAAGCTGTAGCTGGTGTCTGTTGTTGTTGTTGTTGCTGTTGTCTATTGCATTACGCCTGCATTCGCATTCATCGCATTTTATGTAATTTGCCAAGTTGGTCGTTGGAAAAATCGCAGAGGCGTTTGGGTGGCGGGTGAAAATGCACAAAATTCACAAAATTCACAAAATTCACAAAACAAATGCGAATGCGGGAAATTACAGGGAAAAGTTGTTTGTTTTTGCTTTGTGTGGAAATTTCATTTATACGGAAATTAAGTTGATACTAAAAAAATTCAATAAAACAAGCAAACAAAAAAGGCGGAAAAACAATGTGGCGAGAAAAATTTCGTTCGAATAACTATGTATGTAAATATATAAGTAGTATTTTGTTTTTGCTTAAGTTGGTATGTAATGTTGTGCGTAATACCTTTTGTGTAATTAGTACAATGGCTAAAGGGGAAAAGGAGAAAGAATAGGTATTTTATTTTTTTTTTGCTGAAATTAGCGGTCATTTTGGTGATAATTAAGTTGATAAGAAGAAGCATACGGAATGGGGATTTCGAATTGAGATGGAATATGGATGAAATGAAATTATTTACAGCGTTAAATAAATTACATAAAATTAGTTACTGCAGTTTGCTATGCAAATTTGAATGAGGTAAGTTTAAGGAGAAAACTGTAGCCGTTGATACAAAATCTCATTATAAACTATTTCTCATTAAATTTGCACCTTATTTTGTGTTTTAGGTGGCA